CATAATATTCCAGTATGTAACTACCACTTTGTAATGATTACATTTGTTTTTAGAAGAACATAACAAAATTCGAAAAATAACCTTTGATTCAATTGAGAAGTATCACGCAAAATCCTGGATCTATAGTAACTTACATAGCTAAACAAAATCAACAAAAAAAGAAATCAAAAGCAAAATCAAAATGTATAGTTAAAGAATTCTTTGATGTTATAAAAGGCAGTATTTATTAGCCACTGCTTTAAACTTTTTTTCAATCGCGTTAATGGCTGTTCACTAATATTTTAGGAACTTTATTATATATCTTGATACACATTACGAGACAATTCCTGTGGAATAACGCAGTTCTACAAGGTGGCATCAGTAGACGTGTCGGATCTCTTTTTGCAAATTTATTATTTTCCTGCACAGTAACAAATTGATTTGTATTATTTTTTACAAAAACGCAGATTTCTAATATATATAACCCAGTTAAAGTGAGAATATTTTTTTCCTTAAACAGGGGTCTACAGCTCTGTAGAGGGCCTATGTTACACAGTGCACGAATACATTTCTTCTGGCTTAGAAAGGCTCTGTTTGCGTATGTTGAGTTGCCCCACAAGATTAATTCATATCTTAAGACGGATTCATCGTACCTGTAGTAAGCAACACGCGCTGCTTGCGGACCTGCTACATTTTGAAGTCTACGTAGTGCATAAACAAATTGATTAATTTTTTACATACCTTATTAATGTGTAATTTCCAGTTGACATGCTGGTCAATAGCAACACCTAGGATTGTGTATCTTTTACCTCTACCAATCTTTCACCCTTATATGTTAAGTCTAATTTTTGTGGTTTTGTTTTATAATTTCCAAATTGAAAATATTTAGTTTTGTTAGTGTAAATTATTATCTTCTAGCCATGATATAACTGATTTTATAGTGGAATTTATCTCTTGTTCATATATCTGTAAATTATTAGTGTGGGGTATAACAATTGATATGTCATCAGCAAATAGTATGGACTGATGCTTTATTATACTCGGTAAGTCAAATTATATATAGAATGAACAATAAAGGCCCTAAAACACTCCCTTGAGGTACCCCATAGTCATTTTGTATATAAGGAGATCTGTAATATGTTAACTCTAGATTATTACTAATACGTGGTACTTCAACACATTGTTGCCGATTTGTCAAATAGCTTTCTATCCATTCCAAAGCCGGTCCTCTAATTCCTTCACATTTGTACAACAACGTGCTATGTTCTACACAGTCAAAGAGTGTGATCGGAGAATTTTTGTGTTCTGCGACGGGTCTTGTAGAACTTAGCTCCGACTGCATAGACTGAATGTTTGTCCTTGTGAAATTTATGTATGTAAACTACCCCAACAATACAGGAGAAAATCCTAGTGTGGAGGTAACGTTTTCTTTATAAAAAAAAGACCAGTTTCTTTGAGTATCGAATTTGTGTCGCCATCAACATAACTTATTTCCTTTATCTATTAAAGCCTATTAAAACCTTACTGCTAAACATAGGTCTCTCACTTAGATTGCCTCATAAATGTGATTTTGGCATAATTGCCACGATTGTCATGAGGATTGGCAGCTGCAACTTTTTATTACTTAAAGTTGTTATCAAAAAGATGCTGCTGCCCACCTCTTGATTCAATTTCCTTCTGTCACCTCTCATGACACACACGGAGTGATATGAGATAGCAGTAGAAACGCTGCCACTACACGTAAGAAACCCTTTAACCGCTACGAGGGTGGATTGAAAAGTACTCGGCCTAACACAGATCCATTCAATTCTAAAAATCAAATCTACCCACATTATTTAGTTCAGTTCAGACTAGTTCATTGTGTGAAGTTCGAAACGTGTGCGATAATTAGTTGTGATTTTATAAATTTATTAACAAAGTAATCGGACATAATTTCCGCGAATGGAGCACATCGAGCAGCGTGCCGTCATTAAGTACCTCCATAAGAAGGGGCTGTCATCAAAAGCCATCCATGATGACATGGTCAGTACATTAGGCGATTGTGCTCTGTCATATTCATCCGTCAAAAAATGGATAGCAGAATTTAAGCGTGGTAGAGAGAGTGTGAAAGATGAACCCCGCTCTGGAAGGCCTTCGACGTCAACTACTGACGAAAATATTAAAAAAGTACTTGATTTAATAATGGGAGACCGCAGATTAAAAATTAGAGAGATAGCCGAGATTATAGGCATCTCTTATGAACGAACTCAAAACATCATTGTCAACGAGTTGGGTTTCCACAAGGTGTCTGCGAGGTGGGTTCCGCGATTGCTTTCAGTTGAACAAAAAAGGACGCGATTGACTATTTCACGCGACTGTTTGGAGTTATTTGAAGCCGATGCAGATGATTTTTTGAATCGTTTTGTTACTATGGACGAAACATGGGTTCATTACTGTACACCGGAAACAAAACAACAATCAAAACAGTGGAGAAGACCTGGTTCACCACCCCCTAAAAAGGCTAAGTCGATTTTGTCGGCAAATAAGGTGATGGCTTCAGTATTCTGGGACTCGAAAGGTGTGATTATGATTGATTATCTTGAAAGGGGTCAGAATATAAACTCTGATTACTACTGCACCTTACTACGTCGTTTACGAGAGGAAATAAAAGAAAAACGTCGAGGAATGCTCAGAAGAAAAGTCCTGTTTCATCAAGATAACGCCCGTGTTCACACGTCAGTACAGTCAATGGCTGAAATTCACAACTGTGGCTTTGAACTGTTACCGCATCCGCCGTATTCACCTGATCTGGCACCATCAGACTTCTTTCTGTTCCCTAACCTAAAAAAGCACTTGGGAGGTCAAAGATTTTCGACAAACGACGAGGTCAAAGCAGCTGTAGACGCATATTTTGACTCTAAGGAAGAATCATTTTTTTTCAACCGTCTAAATGCTTGGAAGGGGAGGTGGCAAAAGTGTATTGAACTTGATGGTGATTATGTAGAAAAATAAAAATATAACTGATTTAGTATGTGTTTATTTTCTTGGTTAGGCCGAGTACTTTTCAATCCACTCGTATCATTTACAATTCATTATTTAAATTATGATAAAAGATATCATTTAATATTCAATTATGTTATAAAGATAAAAAGATTCTTTATTTAAATTATGATAATTAAAATATATTTGTTTTAAATAAGATTATGCATGCAGCTCACTTGATGGTGACTTTTTTTTTATAGAATATGTGTGGAAAACGAGCACACAGTCCACCTGATAGTAAAAGAATGCTGTGGCCCATAGAAATCTACATCTATCCTCGATTAAGAATCAAAATGCAGATATGTTGCCACCCTTTTTTTTTGCGGATGGAAAATCATCAAATGACGCCTTTCGCTCTGGGTGGAGCGGAAGGGAGTGTCAGACTTTTACTGACTAAAAACCATCCGTGTTCCTTCAGTGCCCTTACGTTCCGGAGTCGTGGTATCTCTTTCGAACAGCCCGCAGCCCCGGCAGGCGTCGGCCCTTGCGGGCCCCTTCACGCTGCTGACAGCTCTTTGAGGCGCGCGTGGAACAAAACGCGCCGTCGACACGGCCTGTCGTCGTTAGACGGATGGACGGCGAGCTACCCATTGCTCGCCGTCCACAGGCCCGCGCCTACGGTGGCCGGGGGCCACGACGTAGCCCCCGACGCCCGGGGTGTCTCCCGCGGCGGCCGGGAAGGAAAACTGCTGCTCTCTCCTTCTCCCGCTCCGCCACCTCCTTCGCTAGCATCACTGCTTCGCAGAAGGTGGTGACGGCATCCCATTCCGTCTCGCTCCGAACCATGGCTTCGACCAGGGCGAGAGGTCGCCGCCGCCTATCGCCGCTACGAGGACACGGCGGTGCTCCGCCCAGGCAGGGCACACCTCCACGGTGTGCTCCACCGTGTCCTCCGGTCGATCCTCGCAGTGGGAGCACCCGGGCGTTTCCTCCCGCCCGATTCGGTGCAGGAACCTCCCGAACACACCGTGTCCGGTGAGGACCTGCGTCAGGCGGAAGGTGAGGACGCCGTGGCGTCTCTCAAGCCACTCCTCAAAGAGGGGTCTTATCGCCGCTATAGTGGCGTGCCCAGCACGGGGTTGCGACAGTCGCTCTCTCCATGTCGCCATGAGATCATGCCGGAAGTCTGTCCGCTGCACGACAACTTGCCGCGGCAGCGGGGTTTCCCCCCGGCATAGTGCCTCCGCGCGCCATTCGTGTAGGCGCGCGAGGACTATCGCCTCCAGATCCCATGGCGGCAATCCGGCAAGGAGGCACACTGCCTCGCGGGAGATCGTGCGGTAGCCGCGAGCCATTCTTACGGCAACCACCTTTTGGGGCGCGTTCAGGTGATGGACGGCAAGCCGCGCCAAACCACGCGCCCACACCGGGGCCCCGTAAAGGGCCATGGACCGCACAATCCCCGCGTAGAGCCTCCGGCAGGAGGCGTTTGGCCCCCACAGGTTCGGCAGGAGCCGCCTGAAGGCAGCCCCGGTCCGTTCCAGTTTGGGAGCCAAACGTCGGAAGTGCTCAACGAAGTTCCATCGGCCGTCGAGGACGAGTCCTAGGTACTTCAACGTCGACTCGACGCCGATGGATACCCCTCCTACCATCGCTGAGGATCCCGGTGGTGGCCTGTTCCGAGGACCATGGAAGTGCATGGCCTCGGACTTGTGCAGAGCCACCTCAAGACCCAGCTGCCGGATCCTCTCAACGACTATCGCAACCCCGCGTGTCATATTTTCCGCCGCCGCCTCGTACGACCCCCCTGTGCCAGTACCAGCGTGTCGTCAGCGTAGCAAACTACGCTGACGCCGGTAGGGCGGTCGGCGCGCAGCACCCAGTCGTAACCGATGTTCCACAGGGGCGGCCCCAGAACCGAACCTTGTGAGACACCGCACGACACCTCTCGCCGGTTCCATTCACCGTTGCGACCGGGGTAGATGACGGCCCTATCCGTCAGATAGTCCCCGACTATACGACGGAAATAGGTCGGCACCCGGTGATACCGGAGTGCCTCCCTAATGCAGCTCCAGGGCATGGAGTTGGCGATGTCGAGAGACACCGCCAAAACAACCCCCCCCCCTGGCCACTGCATCCCCCGTCGTGAGGGCTCTCACGCGCATGATGGCGTCCACCGTAGAGCGCCTCTTGCGGAAACCAAACTGGTGTTCCGCAAGATCCGGCCCCGTCCCCGCAAGGTGCTCGGCGAGGCAGTTTGCAATGACTCTTTCAAAGAGCTTGCTCACCTCGTCGAGCAGCACCACGGGCCGGTATGCGGACGGAGAGTCCGCAGGGCGCCCCGGCTTCCGAATGAGGACCAGCTTCCCCGTCTTCCAACGAAGCGGGAATTGGCCTCTCTCCAGCAATGCGCTTAGGAGCCCCTCCAGTCGGGGCCCGAGAGCCTCCGAGGCCAGGACCCAGACTTTGCCAGGCAAGCCATCGGGTCCTGGGGCGGTATTCCTGGCCTTGAGCCTACGTACCGCCACTCTCAGGTCTACCCCGGTCCCTTCCGGGATGCCGTCGTCGTCGTCCTGGTGGTCCGCTTCCGGCACCGCAGGTGGCGGAGCCATAGGCGGGGGCGGATGTTCCCCTCGCGCAGGAAACAGAGCGCTCACCACGTCCTCCACGAGCTGAGGCCGGAGACTCTGCGTCAGCGGGGGGGCCCAGGTGCGGAGTTTATCCCGCACCATCTTGTAAGGGCGCCCCCACGGATCTCTGTCGAGAGTCTCCAGCATCTCCTCACGGGCCCGATCCCGGGCCCGCATGACAGCCTCCCGGAGGGCGGTCTTCGCCGCTCTGTATCTCTCGTACAGCTCCGCCTCAATGGCTGCCGCATTCGGTGGACGAATGCGGAGCCTGCGATGCCTGGCGTACAGGTGCCGCGCGGCGACACACGCCTCGCGCAGAGACGTCAGCTCACGCGACCACCAATACACCTGGCGCCGGGCGCTTCCTGGCCGGACGCGGGGCAATGCCACGTCACATATCTCGGACATGGCCTCCTGGAACCACCCTGCCTCATCATTGACGTCGGCAGCCCTATCCGGTGATGACACCCAGGCCTGCACGATCGAGGCTTCCAGGAGGAGCTCCCGGTCCAGCTGCTTCAGCGCCCAACGCGGACCAATCGGGGCCTGTTGGACTGGCGCGCTCGAGGGCTGGGTGGAGACGTCAAACCAGATGTACCGGTGGTCGGAGTAGGTCTCCACCCCCTCCATGACTCGCCAGTCAATGGCACGCGGCGACAGAGCGGGGCTAGCGAACGAAATGTCCACCACCGACTCGCCCCGCATCCGCACACACGTGGGGACAGAACCCCGATTTAGGACGACCAGGCCTGTCTCCAGAGCCCAGTCTTCCACCATCCTACCCCGCACATCTGTACGACGAGAACCCCAAGCCAAGTTCTTGGCATTGAAGTCCCCGAGGACAAGCTCGGGGAGGGGATAGCTTCCAACGACGACTGCTCTCAGCTCTGCAAGAGAGTTGTGGAGCTCGGCGAGAGATCGGTTCGGGGAGAAGTACACCCCCATAACGACGAACTCCCCGAACCGTGCTGCTACGCACCCCTGACCCCTCCTGACACCTTCAAGGGTCGGGGTACCGGCGGCGGCCGAAGAAATGATGGCCACATGTTGCCACCCCTGAGGACTGAGATGGAGTGCATCGTGGTACTTCAACACATTGTTGCCGATTTGTCAAATAGCTTTCGATCCATTCCAAAGCCGGTCCTCTGATTCCTAGTTTTTCACATTTGTACAACAACGTGCTATGTTCTACACAGTCAAAGGCTTTAGACATATCAATAAAGATGGCTACTATTGCCACTCTATTATTAATATATTCAGTTATTCGACGTATCAGTGAAAAGGTAGCAAGTGTAGTAGATTTTTTCTTTTGAAAGCCATTTTGTTCGTTTCTGAGTATATTATATTTTGCTATAAAACTAGCAATTCGACTATGCATGGCTTTTTCAAATACTTTGGATAGAATGGCTACTAACGTGATCGGCCTGTAGTTATGAATCTCATGACGGTCATCTCTTTTTATATAAGGGTTTGACTATAGATTTTTTTAATTTATCTAGAAATCTTTCATGTATGAAAGAAAGGTTTATTAAATATGTCAGAATTGGAGCAAGTTCCTTTACACATGATTTTAGTATGTGTGTTGTAATAGAATTATAACCAACAGATTTAGTATTATTAAGAGAGTTTATTATAAGTATGATTTCATTTAATGTGCAAGGTTTTAAAAAGATCGACGATTGAACATTTTCATACATATTCCTTTTAGTTTTATTATTTAAAGAAGAAGAGTCACGAAGAACTGCATTAATAAAATACTCATTAAATATACTGGCAATGTCGAAAGGATGATCTATTTTAGTTCCTTTACAATTAATCCAGTCAATATTATTATTTTGTATATCATTATATTCATAATTTTTAATAATTTCCCAGGTAGCTTTACTTTTTGAATGTAACAGGTGTTGCATGTTTAAATTTTTTTTTGACCATGTTACGCATCTTTTTAATAATTTTGAATATTTGTGATAAATTACTTTGTTTTCTAAACTTTTGTGTTCGTAATATTTATTTTTTAGTTTTCTTTTAGTTTTACTCGCAACTGTTATACCTTTTGTGATCCAATTTGGAGCGAGATTGTCTGTTTTGATTTTATATTTTTGTAATAGAAAGCTCTGCTAGTAATATAATAAACAAATTAAATCATGAAATTTATTAAAAATATTATTAAAAGTGGCATCTGTAGTTTCTTTTTCCCACGATATATTTCGTAGACATTTACTAAACTTATCAATATTTTCCTTACAGTAATTTCTTTCGGTAGTGTACCAGTATTTAATTTTAGGTAGCAGTTTAATTGGAAATTTTAGATATTGACCGGTGTTATGATCTGATAAATGAAAATTGTACAGGGTACTAGAAACGTCCGACTCTTTGAAATTGCTAGCTATATGATCAATACATGTGTGATGTCTCATAGGTTTATCATTATGTATTTTAAGGTTGTAGTTGTATAATAAATTTTTTAAGTCATCAGTGACGTTATTATTTTTAAGCGTGTCAATATTAAAGTCACCACATAAAATGACTTTCTTTTTGTTTAGCTTCAATGCTAGTTTATGAAAAATAAGATCTAATTTGTTGAAAAATATTGATACTGGCGAATTGGGAGTTCTATATAAACAAAAAATTATACAGTTGTAACTTGGTACCTCTATACCGCAACACTCGAAAACTTTGTCTGCAGATAATTCATGGCACAGTTGTATAACTTTAAATTCTATTGACTTTCTAATAAGGATACATACTCCCCCACGTTTTTCTTTTATTTTACAATATAGTGAAGCTAATTTAAAATGTTTAAACTTAATGTTACTCTCATCTCCCTTTTTACCAAATGTTTCACTAAAACATAAAAAGCTTATTGATTGCCCCTCATTTCTTAGCTCATCAATACATAGTTCTATCGAATCAGTTTTGTTAAGCAAACCTGCTATGTTTTGATGTAGTATGAAAGTAATTTCATGTTTTTGGTTGTTATTGTGTGCGAAAAAATGGAGTCGTGGACATATTTAGGCTTGTGCTATTTCCAACAGTTAATGTGTTATATAATTTATTCACCTTTTTGAAATAATATGGTATGGTGAGAATTTTTGGTTCAGCAGTTTTACTTTCGTAAGATAACGTAATTATTTCTTGGGATTTTCCCATAATGTGCATCTTATCAGATACATTACTGCGATTTTTAATAATAGTTTTTATATTGTTTATATATTTAATAAAATGTATTTCGTAATATTTAGAGTCTAACATTAGATTAATCTTTGCACAAATATTTGCATGATATTCCGTCCTAGACCTGTTTGTGCATTCAATAAAATTACAATTTGGCATGTTATAGCACAAGTTTTTTAACATATTATTTAGTTTATATTCATTTAAATATTTATTGTAATTAGTATTAAGTATAATAAAATTTGAGTTTTTTAGTATTTTTATTACTGCAGCTGTTTCAAAGAATATCTTTGTAACGTTCGTGTCATTTTCCCCAACACACAAAATAAAATAGTTAGTGTTAGAATTTTCAATGTTATAACAACCTTTAAGGATTTCTTCTGTTTTGGCATAAGGTTTTGTCCAAGAGAAAATGTCAACATTTTCAAATTTCGTGTTTGTTCTAGAATAAATCAGTCTATATGCCAGACCCACGCATTGTTGTCCTCCTATTATGAAAATTTTACTCTTTTTTAACACCTCTTCAGAGTTTTGTTGAATATTTTCTGAAGGCAGCTTTGCGATATTTAACTTCGACATTTGAGCCGTAGTATCCAAAACAGTTCCTTCTTTAGTGTTATTTGAACATAAGTCCATTTCTGGCGTGAAAAGAGTGCGTTTTATTTTTCGAGTAGGTTTCTTTATTGTAGAAGTACTTGGGTTCCTGGGAGAGTCTGAAAAACTACAGCAAATTTTATTCAGGTTTTTTATTTTGTATTCTAATGACATAATTTTAGATTTTAGATTATTATTTTCTAAGATCAAATTGTCTATTTCCTTATTAGCAATTTCCAATTGCCTTTTTAATGTATGTATTTCATCTTTTAATTCCTCCATAGTTTCATCACACCTCGTTGATAAGTCTGGTAGACTTCTTGCTCTGTTCATTTTTTCTGATCTAAACGATATAAATGATTCATCATCCGAATTACTCGTATTTAGTTGGGTAACATGTTTTCTAAATGTTATATATTGCATTTTTTCTTCCTATGTAGAATTCATTGATGTTGACGTGGTTTTATCCATTGTTTTGAATGTCTGCTATTTTTATTATTTTTAGATAATTATGTTTAGTCTCATTTAACTTAATATTCGAAACATTCTGAGAAACTACTAGACATAGCGAAAACTGTTACAAAAAGACATGTTGAATGCGGGATACGAACTCGTGACAAACAGCTAACTTGACAATGCCGAATATTATGCTGCTGCGCCACCAATTAGATGTGAAACTTAACGAAATTAATGTTCTGTATGTACGCACTTTATTTTATAAAAACATTAGACGGTATTTGAAGTTCTGAATTGAGATGAGATGATTTTATTTACTTTTTCCATTTAGTAAATACACTGGTATATGTTTTTATGTTTATATTGTATAAGGAAGAAAACAGCTACTGACACATCTATAAAGGTTTTAAAGTATTTTTGTTTATTTAATGCTGTCTGGCCATGTATTATATTTTAAAACGATATTCGTTTAAACTCACCAAAAAAACAGAAAATATTATAACAAACTTGTTAATATAATAAACTTACTACCCACGAACAACCTCAAAAGTACTTCAGAATACTGCGAAGCAAATTCATAATATAAAACGATATTCGTTTTTATTCACAAAAAAGAACAGAAAATATTATAACAAACTTGTTAATATAATAAACTTACTACCCACGAACTACCTCAAAAGTACTTCAGAATACTGCGAAGCAAATTCATAATATATTATAGTACACAAAATCGATTATACTTTAAAAGTATAATAAGG